TTAGAAGAAAAGACCAACATCCGGGTACTTTTTTGAATCGCCTTATTGGTGCAGACAGACAGACGCTTCTTCGTCCTATTACCAGTCCCTACACGGCCCGCGTTTTGAAACCATTCATTCGAAGAGACTTTGAAAGTCGACCTCTGAAACTAAGACTGCTGAATGAGGTGGTGGCTTACCAGAAAAGGTTGGTCGTACATATGAGAAAACGTTTATGATAAAATATTGTTGAATCTCTATAAATTCTCGTCTTTTCATTTCTCCCCATTTTATAATCTGTACATAAATCTCAGCGTTTGAATATAACTGTGCCGAAATAGCTCAGTTGGGAGAGCGTCAGACTGAAGATCTGAAGGTCCCTGGTTCAAACCGGAGAACTCGTAGGAGTTCTGAATAATCCCGGGTTTCGGCATATATTTTTTCTTTTTCATTTTTTGTGGTATTTATTAGATCTTTTACATTTCATCATAGTTGTTTTTTCATATCCTAGAAACATCTATACAATAAATGAGAGTAAAAAAATGAAAATAAAAATGAAAGTGAAAGTTTTCATAGACATCATAGTCCAGGCGTTGTATCTACACTTTATCAATTGTTTTTTCATATCCTAGAAACATCTATGCAATAAATGAGAGTAAAAAAATGAAAATGAAAATGAAAGTGAAAGTTTTCATAGACATAGTCCAGGCGTTGTGTTCTACACTTTATCAATCCTTACATCACACCTTTTCTTATTTTATTTTTTTTTTGTGTGTATTATTATGCTTTGATTAATAGTATTTCTTTCGCCATTTCTCGGCCGGAAGCGGCTAGCAAGTGCAATCGTGATAATTATGCTAAGTTACTGGAGCATTTGTAATCTTTTGTGTCACAGAAAAGACCCTTCCTGGGTACCTCCCAAGCCACACCCAATCGACTATTGTTATGTACAACCCGATCATATCCCAGCTGTCAATGCGATGTGCAGAGAATTCTTCTGGCCTGGAATAGATCGTAAGTCAAGAAAACATGAAAGAGCATGCGTATAGTGGGTAAATTACGAGAMATGTGGGATAGGGCTAGAAACATGTTTGAGCATGCGTAGTGGGTTCATGACTTGCCTTTTTKGGGGCTGATTTTAATTTACGTTTGTTGTCTAGTTTCAGAGTGTTTACAATATCCTGACTTCAGCTGTGTTGTTCTGTACAGGTATGCTTTACCAATACRGTGCATTACTCCGCTATGTAACCAGTAAATTGATGTGTTGTGTAACCCTGGTATCGATTTAACTTCCTATCGCTTGTAAAWGTGACTCATATTCACGGCACATCATTCTGCTTTTACCATAGGCCGCCCAACTATTGTTTCAGAGAAGGAAAAGAACGAAGAATGCGCACGCTTTTCTTGATTTACGTACGGTAGTACTGTCACAGACTAAAATGGTGGGAACTAGCGGTAAACTAGTGTGAGCTGCGTCGGTGTTTCTAAAGAAACAGTTATGTAAAAAGATAAATTTAACACCGTAAAAAAGTATGTGGAAAAACTTACTGACGTTTCGGATGTTAATCCTTCGTCGGAGTAAAAACTGTTGTTGACACCGCATTTTGAGCGCGCGCCGATAACAGTACTACCGTAAATTTAGAAAAGCGTGCGCATTCTTCGTTCTTTTCCTTCTCTGAAACAATAGTTGGGCGGCCTATGCTTTTACCAGTAAAACTTTATCGTCACTCCATAGCCACTGCTATAGTTGACGCGATTACAACGATTAAATTCTTATTATTAAAGAATGGAAGTTTAAGACTTTTATTTTTTGTAGGAGCTTCGTCATTGCCTTTGCTTTCATGGTCCCAGATGTCAAGTACAACGAAGCCTATATCTC